GTACAACTACAGTGTACCTTTTACACTTTATACTACTTCCTCGGATAAGCTGTAAGTAGGATTAGCTTTAGGTATAGAAGCGAGTATCGGATGAGCCACAAGTAGGATCATCCCTAGGTGTAGAATGGGCATTAGAAATAAGAATTAGTAATCAATATGAGAAGAGTGAAAAAAGGAGCGAAATTAAGTATACTATAATGCGAAATGAAAACAATTCAAGATATTATTATAAGAATTGTGTTATGCAGTCAAAATATTTATATTTCAGCTTGTAAATTTAAACAATGTGGATTTAATATATTTGCATTTTAAATAATCCAATCTCTCTCTCTCTGCATAAATGAATGAAATATTTTTCATCCGCGCGCTATTTTATCGTGATAACGTTTTCGTACGTCGGTAATGCAGCTCGTGGCGATTGCGCTTCACTCGTCGTCCGCTGCTACGCCACTGTCGCCACGTGTCGGAGAACTCTAACCTCCGATAAAATTTCTTTACACGCCGAAATATTTTAAGGAGCGCACGTTTCATCGACAATACTCCCGAATAATGGCGAGCAGCGAAAAAGTGACACGTATGGAAGATATACTGAATGCGGCAACGGTACAAAATAAAGACAGGTCAAAGTCGTCGCCCGTCGCTGAGAAACGCGAGAGACAAGGTATCCCGCGAGGCAAACCGAAATCTGGTAGGATATGGAAGGGAGAAAAAACGAAGTGAGTTACAGTTTATGATAAATCGACGATAGCACAATTATTCATAATAATTATGATTAATATCGAATATAATTCTTCCATAACGTTACAGACCAGGCAGTGATTTAGATAAAGTAGTCCTATGTGCATTTGTCTTTTTTCTGTTTTTATTGCAGCTCTAATTTTTATGAGGAGAAATAAATTCTTAGCCAAACTTCGAAACTTTGTTTTAAAATTCGAGCATTGTGTCGAGAAAGATCTTTTTGTTTGACGAGCAACTACTTTAGCATTTAACTATCCGACGTAAAAGTGTACAGCCATAACATAAAATAAAATGAATATCTAATTATATTCCAGCGTTTTATATAAATAAATGAGTAAACAGGTACGACGAAGGTACAAGTCAATAATGCAAATGCTCGTTCGCAGATTTTCTTCTATTATTAAAACCCGTGGAATTCGGTTGTCGTTGGACAAGAAACAAAAACTGAGGGAGGATCTGAAACGTGTTAAGGAGATGTCAAGGGCAATCAAGGCACAGAAACAGGCGGACAAGGAGGCCAAGAAGCAGCGAAGAAGAGAAAATTTAAAGAGGGCAGAAGAGAACAGGAAGAAGAGTGAAATTGTCCAAGTTGTAAGTAAACGCTGATATTACTTATGTAATATATATATCTATATTTGTTGTATTTGTTGTATTGTAAAACTTGCATTGCATCGTCATTTTTTAGATAAGAAATACTACGAAGATAAAAAGAATGAAGAAGAAACAATTAAGGATGATTGAAAAGAGGGACACAACTAATATGTAACATTAAATAAAACTGCAGAAATAGAACACTTAATTAAGTACATAATATCATAATAATTGTTAATCAGTTTTAATGAAAAAAAAAAAGTCTTCGTTCAACACAGACTTCTGCATATCTTCTAAAGGAAAGTATTGATTCTATACGCATTTTTCTCCTTTTTCACGTGCAACTTGTACAGCAACGAAATCTTGAAGATCTATTTCCAGACCGTAATTGGTGGCAAATTTTATCTGCAATATAAGTAAACCATAAGTAAAATTGTTAAATTGTTTGCGACAGTTTATTACTGATCATTGAGACTTACGCTTCTTTTAATCCATTTTGGTAGATAGCCACATTTGGTAGATGACTGTTCATACCTATACATATAAATGATCGGCAATTAATATGGAATCTATTCCCAAATATTGTATATATATCGAAACTAATGTTGTCTATTCCCAAATACTGTATCTACCTGTCATCTACTAGCAGCACAGCACCCCAATCGCCTTTATGCCTGACACAACGGCCTATTGCCTGATTTAACGCCCTAAATGCATTTATAGTATACCATTCTGTACCAGATTGCAAACCTTTGGATATATTCAAATCGTTATACTTCATCTTCATGTTTACATCAGAATTTTTGAAGAGATACGGTATACCAACCTAATACATAAGGATGTATTATAAATAACTTATGCTATATACATACAGGGTGTCCTGAAATTCGCGAATCAAAATTCCATAGCAAGAATGTCGTCGAAAAAATAAATTAAAAAGTTATTTGCCATTTTTCGTTCCGAGCAGTAGTTTTTTTAGATAAAAAGGTTCAAAACAGGCCAATCAGTTTAGTGCACTAACACTATCGACGCGCGACTCACGGACAGGTTTCCGTTCAACCGTAATGTATGATTGGCCTGTTTTGAACCTTTTTATCTAAAAAATCTACTGCTCGGAACGAAAAATGGCAAATAACTTTTTAATTTATTTTTTCGACGACATTCTTGCTATGGTATTTTGAGTCGCGAATTTCAGGACACCCTGTATATGCATATGTAAATACATGTGCGCAAGCATATGTAGATAAAAAGTAAGAATGTTACTTACTGCTAATACGCAACGAGCCTCGTTATCGCTGAAATCTGTTCCTTCCGCCACCTTTCCTCTATAAACTGCAAACAAGATAGCTCCGCATGCCGTCCGAAACGATTTAGATGATGATTCCTCAATTACCCTGCGATATTCTGTCAAGTCCAGTTCCTTACTGCTTTCGACAAAAATTCTCTTCAAGTCGGCGAGTTTCCTCCATACTTCGGTGTTCTTCCATCTCTCGTGGATGGTGTTCATTGTCTTGTAAGACGGAAAGAAACACAGTACACCGTACGGTACAGCGTCACATACTCGAAGAATCAAATTACCGAGCTCGTCCTGCCAGGATAAAAATTGTTACCTAACTTCGCATACGTGTAACGTGTCATCTAGAATATAAATCGTTAGCAATCAGTTTCTGCTTACCTGAAACTCCCAAGAGTTCACTTTGTCAAATGTGGCCCTCAAAGATTTTCCACTTGGCCCGCGTGGTATGCATCTTACGTACACTTGATCCTCCGGTATAATATGATTAGGATTGACTATATGCGGGAATCGCGTGCCGAGTTCGCTTTGAAACGACGCAGTCGGCGTCAAAGTACCGGAAGCAACTATCACAGAGCGAACAAGACGGGCAATAGGCGCGAAAATTATGGCGGGATTCATACAGATCAGCTTCATGGTTCGTACTTTTTCCTTCGATGTGGCCGAGACAGCTTCGGTCATCTAATAAAAAAACAACCGCGTGATATTGGCACAATTATTAATTAATGCAACTGCTCAGACTTACAGCTTTCTTGGTAAGTTCAATCGTTTCTACGACGTATATTCTGTAGTCATTAGCAAAATTATCTGACGAAATCATTTGCATAGCGAAACAGAGGTATTCAAGAATTTTCTTAGTATCCCGCGAAATAGTGGGTATTATTTTTTCGCGACGAATCTCCTCCTTCATATTTTTTCCGAAATCCTGTATAGCTGTCCCACTGGCGGCGAGAAAATCGGGAAATCTAGAACACCCAACGTCATATACGTGCAGCAGCTCCCGGAATTCGCTACCAAGCCAACTCTTACTCATCATTCCGTTTTCGTAACTCTGAAACGTACATATTCTCTCTTATAATAAGTAAAACTACCGATTATAATTCTTCATAAATTGATAATGAATATCTTACGAAATAAAAATTGCATTAAATCATTGGGACACGTAAAATTAATGTAAAAGCAAAAATTAATACTTAATTAATTCACAAGCATGTATGCACACCTTCTCCTCGACCGCAATATTTTTAAGGAATTTCGCGATATCCGTGAGATATCTTTGTATAGTATCATAAGTGTGGGGATCACGGTTTTCGTACAATAAATGTAGATGTTGGCATTCTTTGGCGGCATGTGTCATCTCGTCATCTCTGAGATTCACGCTGGCAGCTTCCCGACACATATCCTCGACATTGTGAGCCTCGTCAAGTATCACGATATTGTCTCTCAGGCTGATTTGCATCTGTGCATTTTAATTTGCTCCATTATTAGATATTTAATACTGTAGAAAAGAATGTGCGGGTTGTCTTAAGATAAAAAGATTAGAACTGTTGAATGTTCCGTTAATAAAGTCTCTTCGCTGCAATTCTTCCGAGCATCTCTTGGCTTTGGACCGAGGGGTAAAACCGCTGACCAAAATCATGCGCACCAATGCCTACTAATGCCCGATGGGCATTACTTAATCTTATTATCTTATTTTATCTTTATAATAACGGGAAGAAAAATAATTTTACGACTTTAAACTGGCTAAGGCTCGGTTTCACGTCGCTTAACTTTAATCTTAGTTTAATTCATGTTTGTCTCTTTCTACAGTAACAGTTGGAAAGAGACGAAGAACGAATTAAGCCAAGCTTAAAGTTAAACAACGTTGGTGAAACCGGACCTACAGGTAAGTGGTTTAATCTAATAATCCAACGTGTCGACCATCGGATTATGGTCCTTTTCAAGGAAATATATGAATTAGCTAATACTGAAATGTAAAAAGACGTCATCCGTCTCTGGATATCGGTCGGAGAAAAATTTTCTCGAAGGCACGTCCATCTGACACAACCGCCACAGTAGGATTTATCTTTATAATGCCCCAGCAAGGCCTAACTGCCCCCAAAAGAAATGCCGAGTAATGCCCAGTTATGCCGCAGATCCGTACAACACAATGTCCTCAGCGGTTCACCTCTCGCTTTGGACACTTCATTAGCAAATTAGTTGTACTTACGCTCTCGCGAATATCTGGATCCAGGACGTAGTTGTAAGGACAAAAGATGATGTCCGCCTCGGCCATCAAGGACCTCGCGCCGAAATAAGGGCAGGCCCCGACGTGATTGCCCACTGAGACCAAGTCCTCGATATCCCACGGCGTGTTCATAGTGTTAAATATCGTCGCCTTTCTCTTACTATGCTCATTATAATACGGGCACTTCTTACCCTACGCGCGGAAATAATGTCGTTACGCAATTATTCAACTTTTGACCCCCGCGAGTACGATATAACGCTTATAGAAACCTTCAGCGGGTCGAGCAGTTCGTTACACAGCTCGTTCTTGTTCCGATCGGTTTCCTGAATGCACGTGTGCCTTCGGCTGCTCAGTATAGTCATCCTGAAAAGAAGCCCACTCAGTTATGTATTCATTTAATAAAGCGGATATCTCGCGGGTACATTTTACCTCTTATGCCTGTACGCGGTCTTCTTCAATTCTCTGACCACCTGCTCGATTTGCTTGTGCGTTCGCGTCCCGTAAAATATCTTTGGCACCTTCCGCGGTCTGCAAACGAGCAATTCAATTTCACTACTCGTCCCCCCCCCCCCGTTTAGATAAAACGTTTGAAACGCTATACTTAATAACGCACTTACCTGTCTTCGTGCAAAATTTTATTGTACATTTCTTCGTCGAAGTACTGCGACGAGTTTAAGAAGAAATTGTCGTTAAAAGAATCATCCTCGTCGCATTTCTCTATTAAACAGGCAATGCGTAAATATTAATTTACCACATTTACGAAGGTTCTTCGTGGCGGAAATAAAGGCCGATATTTTTAAAAGAATGATTTTTTCCCGCGTGTATCTCGAAGAGGGAGGTAAATTTTATTATCGAATATCGTATCGGAGAGGCACGGAGATGTATTCCCAGCAGTTGAGGAAGCTATCGAGGCGAAGGGACGAGCGCAAAGGATGTCAAAACATTACGAAACGCTGGCACGTGAAAGGGCACGAATCCATTGAACGGGGGATCAATAGGAAGGTTTAATCCTCTCGTAGTCGCTGCGCAAGAGTCCCGGACAACAAGCCGACTACTCGAAGGAGGCATTGAAAAGGAAGCCAATGGAATCGCTTTTAATCCTTTCGTACAATTTACGGAGCCGTAAAGATAGAAATGACTCTCAATGACATCAGGAGACGCCCGGCGAAACGGCGGTTTACTCGTAATCGGATTTAGAACGGATGAATCTACGGCAAATAAGATTCCGGCATCCCGCGAAACTAGTTTCAACTTTCGTCCAAGTTATCTAAAGAGAGCGAGAGAAAGAGAGAGATATATATACACACACCCCGCCTTTCCGCGCTTCTATTAAAAGCAACGGCTAAGATGCGCATTATTAAAGGGGTGGGAGGAGGGAATTAAGCGCTCGTGAAGAGTCAGATTCGATGAAAGAAACGTACGTTTTCCCTTCGGCACATTTCCCCCTCGTACGACAATACGAGGGCAACGGGGAGACCTCGTGTTATTTATCCGAGATAATATTACGTCGCTTCGCCATGTGCAACATGCATGTACCCGACATTGCGCCATCGCGCCAAACTACCCCCTAATTCCTCCTCGCGTTCCGTTCGCCTAGACGCTCCTCTGACGTCGCGTGTCTCTCTCTCTCTCTCCCTCTCCTTTTTTTTCTTTTTTTTTCTTTCTCCGCGCGCGCCCATGTGTGCACTTCGCCCCGACGACGGCGGTTTCCGTCGGCGAGAGAGCGAGCACGGAACGGGTGGGTACGGTAGCACGGGCGAAGCGACGGGATGGAAGGGGAGGGGGGCGGCTGATTGGCGACGGGGTGAGAAGAGAGGCTAAGACAGGAAAAGCGAGACGGGGCCAATCAGAGCGCGGACTTCGAGGGTGTCGTTGCCAGGCAACGAAACACACCCCAACACCCAAGGGGAGAAAACCCCCCCGGGGGATACATCATCCAGCGATACAGTCGGCGCTGAAAGTTATCGCACCCTTGAGAGATGGAGCGAGGCGCCCTTTTAACCTTGCCCGCGAGCCCGCGGGATTTCAACGCGGTTCGCCCGACGACTCGCTCGGATCCTCCGCTCCAGGCCGAAAATTCATTTTCGCGACTCGCGAAGGTACGTTAAGTTAAAAACTTCTCTTCAATTGTGGCCTCTTCGTCGTGGATCGCGTCTGAATGCGCGCAAGGCGCGAAAATCGCATTCGGCGTCGTTGAACGACGGAGAACCGCGCGATCGCGTTTTACCGGATGCAAATCTCACGGCCGAAAGTTCGCCGTTTCGCATAAAAATTGCCCGCGCGTACCCTTCGAATAAATAAAAAAAAAAAGAAATCTACCAAGTCGGCCCAATCTAATCGCGCAGCTTCGATCCATTCTACGTCCATTCAGGATTACAACATCCAGCATGAATGAACTCGTTTCACGTCGATCACTCGCGCTTGCTGTTGCATTCCCTCCTCCCCCGCGCAGCCTCCCCTCCCGGGCCCTCCCGCCGCGCTCTCGTTCCATCTCTTTCTCCTCTTTCTCCCGTTTTCACTATACGCTGAATAAACAGTTGATTCGAGTACATAAAGGCTGCGATTCTTCCTCCTTTTTTCTATATATATATAATATATAAGTTATATATATATACATATATATTATATATACATCACACACGCGCGCTTGGCGCGCGCTTCCGGTCCTATCGCCGCGCACAAACTCGACGCGGATGCGAGCCCGACGCTTCCACCGGCATTAATTAATCAAATCGTTGCCACTCTACGATCGCCCGCGCTCGTTCCCGTATTTTAAAACCGCGGCCGGCAAAGCGCGGCGACGTGGCCTCCCGTGAATGGGCGGCGTTTGCGGGATCGCATTCCGATGCGTCTTCCACGGATCGTTGTCCCCCGAGATGACAGGCCGTCCTCTGTCTTGCCGCGACGCAGCTGGGCATAGTGAACACGGTCCAGCCGTGTCCGGCCGAGCTCGTTCCAACGCTCGTCGCCACGTCTCTCGGTAGCCGAGAGTCCTTAAGCCACTTGAACGCCACTGAAACGCCGATACTTTGCTCCCGATATTATCGAGTATTTGTCTTTCACGCGGAAAATGCAGGACGCTAAAAAAATTCTACTCCGTAGGCGACGGTTGCAAATCAGCGAACTTTATAACTGGAACTTACTGTCGTATTAAGAATAATGGTCGGAGTGAGACGGACAACTGGTACCAATTCTGTCTCTTTCGTAGTAACGTGTTTGGTCAACGCTTTTCTATCTCACCTTGCACAAGTGAGATAGGAGTCGCGAGTTAGAAAACCATTGACCAATCAGAATTACTGGAAAGCGACAGAAATGATACCATCTGCCCGCCTCACTCTGGCCCCCCATTTTCTCCCGTTTGACTAACAATAAGCATCCCAGTATTTTTCGTCTTTCCGAGCGACTTTGTTTTTTACCGAACGGTTTTTATAACTTAATTTTACATTTACATTTAATAATAATTAACGTTGTGATGTAATTAATATCTTTTTCATATGTCATTCAAAAGGATCACATTAGTTGGTCGAAACGTTTGACCATTATGAACGTTAATATAGCATACATTATTTTGTATTCCGTGTCTAACATCCCGCGCCGGCTCTTACCGCATTCCTTTTTTATTTTTTTTATTTTATTGCAGTATAGCATAAAGTTTACTGTTCATTTCTGAATATACTCCGTGTAATGATCTTCTCATTGATTTTCTAACAATAGGACAGATAAGTTTCGGTGCAATGAAATGCACTTGTACCGCGGTACAAATAAAAATTCACGGACGCTCAAAAAAATGATCTTCCAACTGCGACACCAATTTTCTACGTACGTCATATAGAGAGAAATCTATAAATGAACAGGTAATACTGCGAAATCGCATATGTTTCGTATTTAATCAATTTAAATAACAGAAACAGAATTTCTATCCGAACTGTTAGCGAATGTTAGGAAGAAAATCTTTCTGCGACGCCCATCCATCCTAACGTTTGATTATGATACACAAACCAGTTATATTCCTTACAGAGATTGTTCTAGCACCGAAATTCATTTTTATCCAATGTGAATGATTAACATTTAGTCATGAAACCTAAACTTTCCAGAAGGTATCGCTGGAATGTTGCCGCTATAAATTTTGTAGGCTGCTAACAGATACGCAAAATAGTGACACATTTTTGTTGCGACACCTATGAATTTACCTGCGTTAGTAATAGCGAATTCGTGTTGCTTGCACTAGTGCGCACTGAGTGCACACTAAGACTTTGTTCACAGTCAATTCTTATATTTAAGAATTGTCTTGAATATTTCTGGAAATATTTCGTAGCCAATAAAATGATCCGTACAGCATCCATCCGGATCATTTTTTTTTAGCTAAATACTTTTTGAACATATATTTACGACAAAGTCAAATATAAGAATTGACTATAAACGGGCCTTAGTGTGCACTCAGTGCGCACTGGTGCAAGCAATCGAATTCGTTATAAGATTTTTTTTTTGAGTGGACGATACATTCACAGCGAACGCGGCTCTAGACACAACTGAACGTGTCCCCGTTCCTAAGACAATGAAAAAAGTCGGGATGCAAAACACAAAGCACCGGGATATCAAATCATGTCGAGGGTTGAGGGCTCTTTTAATTGAGACGTACGATTAATTGGTGCGTTTATCATCGATTATTGTGGTTTAAGAGTTTCTCGCGACAGATGAGGGAGTGGGTTGAATGTCAAGTGCCAATTAGCTCGCGGTTACGGCTTGATTTTAGGAAATCGTTGCTAATTGGTCGGGATTGTGGTGCTTCGCGAAACTTTGTGGCCAAACGAGACAAAAGCCGCGCGAAGTCCCTTCCTAATATCCGCCAACTCCGCGGGGCCGGAGGGCGGGCAACTTTGTGCCTTCGAGAATGTTTGATAAAGGGTTCCCCCCCGACAAAAGGAAGATCGCGCGGAGTTTCCTCCCCTCCCGGAGATCGGCTCTTCGATATAATTAGCGGAATTAACGCCGCTAACCAATTCTCCAAATACCTGCCAGACATTTTTTACAGGGCAGGCCATTAAATTCGCGTAACACCGAAACCGCACCGCGCATTTTGAGCAAAGCCCGAGCGTTCTTTTTAATCGATATAGGGAAGTGTTGTTAACCATTAATTATATCGACTATCAATATCGGACGCCGAATTCTTTTCGGTATTAATGTTGCACGGAAGAATTGCGGGCGCGGCTCTAAATACAAAGAACAGTGCAGAGCTAAGATTTTTAAACATAAATTCTGAAAAAGTTTTACAAGTTAAACAAAGGAGTGCACGATAATCTCTTAAAATATCAAATAATATGCGTACGAATGTGATTGCATTTTGTATCCTTATTATGCGAAACGTAAAGGCGCAATTTTACAAGTTGGCAAAAATAAAAATTAGTGATTATAATTTTCTTCGTTTAAACATATTAAATTTGTCCAAAAATTTATTAATGACAAACGAAAAACGAGAGTGATCGTAAGAGATTGCATCGCGTCGACATATACGATTGAGAAATACTAAAATAAAAGTTTGAAAAGCGACAGGAAGAAAAAAAACGGCAGGGACGCGAGATTCATTTGGTTGGAAAATGTGATTTGGTTCGTGCATGATAAACACACTAGAAAGATACTAGGAAAACAAAAATTCGAAGATACTCAAGAAGAACAAGATATCGACGGGAATGAAGTATGATAGGAGAAAACAAAGGAGGGACAGGAGAAATTGGAAAAAAAACAAAGATTGGCATTTAGCTATCCGCCAACAAAGAGGATGAAGAAACGATGGAGGAGGAGCGAGAAAAAGGAGACAAAGGAGCACGGAGGAGAAAAAGAAGAGGGCCGTCAAAGAGAGGCGCAGGATATCGAAAGACTCCTCTCTCTTTGGCGACGAGGACGGCAGCGTGAACGCGAGGACGCGCGCGACGAGGAAGGGTGGCGGAAGAGGGTAGCGAAGTGCCGAGGGATAGGGAATCGGCGTTTGGTTGAGGGGGTTGGGCGAGGGTTCGGTCGCCATGGCGACAAGCAGCCCCCGGGACCCTCGCAGCTCGTTGCCGGGGTTGGTCGAAAAGGGTGGCCCAGGGCGTCCGCCGGGCAGGTTAGGCTGGGCACGGCAGCCCGAATGTCACTCGGTACAAGGGAACACAAGGATGTCCTTCGGATGCGATGGGGAGCAGAGCGAATGCGACGAAGAGGGTGGGCGGCGGCGGCGGTGGGAGGAAGAGGAAAACGAGGAGGTGGAGGTGACGGCGGCGGGGAGACCGCGGCGGCCCAAGATGGCCGACGACGCGACACCCACCATGTCAATAACACCCTTCTTCAGCGCAAACCGACCCCTTCCCGACCCGCTCCCACTTCCGGCTACCCCCCGCCCGCTTCCCGCGCCGTCCTCCGTCGCCCACCCCCATAGTCGACTTTCCTAACCATCGACGCTCAGCGTCGAGGACGAAATATCTTGCCACCGTTTCCCCGGCTTCTTGCCTCCGTCGGTAATTAACGCGACCTTCCTGCCGCCGGAAAAGTGCAAAGGGACGCTCGGGGCGGATGGCCTGGCCACGATGCGCGCGCGGGGGTGGACGGCGCACGGGGAAAGGGGTGGCGGGCGATGTCGGGGACCATTGCGAGCGAGGGCGTAATTCCGTTAAGTGTCTTCGTAAACTTCGTTAGCTGCATTTCCCGACATTACCCACCCTACCGCGCTGCCGCGCTGCCGCGCAACCCCCGACACGTCCCCCGCGGGGTGGAATATAAGGTCGCGAACGACAACGGCGATGACGGAGGTGGTGGTGGCGGCTGCGGCCACCGCATGGTCGGTAACGTTACCGCCGACAGGTCGCGACGATGATTTTTCCGAGTTGCGTAACGAACGCGAAAATATATTCCGTCGCGCGTTTCGACGTTATTCAAGCTCGACATTGACGATGCTCGTCGCAACTGCCTCGAATGTCTCAACGCTGGCAAAATACGCCTCCTGCCTTTGGATAAAATCATCTGCCCGACTTTCCTCGCAACGCGACTCATATTTTTTTCCACCCTCTCGAGATCGCTAGTCACGTAACCAGTCGCGAGAAGAAATTCGCGCGACAATATTCGCGCTTATCAAAAGAGTCAACTGATGCCGTTGTTGAATTATATATCAGCCCGGTGCACCTGATCACGTTGAGATGTGCGGGCACGCCGATATTATTTCGAGAGCTCATGAATAATGGACGGGGCGCGTATTAGTGTTGCAAATGTAACATTAGTTACATTCGAATCGAAGATAATGATAATCATTAACCGTAATTTACAAATAATATATGAGTTGATTATGCCAGAATGCGCAGTAATTTTCATCGGAGCAAATCCGCGTGCGGTCTCGCAAACGCTAACGAACCAAAAGCTATAGTCTGGATGACGCACCGCTAAATTCACTTTTACAATCTGTTATGCTGCCAGCATTCGTCAACTGCCACTAATTAAAACGAATAATCGGCTGCCTTATTCTTCATTTCCTCATCATTGCACTTTATTCACTCGTGCCATTCGTTAAACGGACAGAGAGTTTCTGCTCCAAGTGAATGATAAATAATTAGAAAAATATGCATGTTCCCTGCGAGGCGGAGTTAATTTTTATCGGATTAAAAATCAGATTGGAGATCAGCTTGGAATTTCGCAAAACATTAATGTTAGTGACAGCGTTTCTTCAGAAGCATGGAATCCCTCGGCAGCAAAACGTATCGATTGCACGAATACATTCGTCACGTCGTTGCACGTAAAATTCTTGGGAGTATCCCTCTGGTTCGTGATAAAGAAGCGCGCCGCGGGCAGATGCTGGCGGATCGGTATTAAATATAATAACCGCGGCGGGTCTTCGCGCTTGAACTGCTCGAATTATGTTACATCATATTCGCTTTGTGCTTTTCGAGTATCGCCAACTACAATAGGAGCAGACACCTGGAACGCTCGCGCAACGTTACGTTTCGTTTCGTGTCCGTGGATACAATGTACTCGCTGTGCCACGTAAAACTGACGGAAATCTCCCTCCTTCGAGCCAACTCGGCAACATTTTCGTTAACGAACGCGTTATCCTGTCCGACCGATGTTTTAGACGCGTGAATCCCGAGCGAGCGAGACATTTTCGCTCGATCGGCGCGTCGTATTGACGAGGAATAATAGAAGAAAAATAATCTCTTCTCCGTTACTCACCTGTACTGCTTCCATCGCCCTTTTCTCGACATATTTCCTCTGAAACAGAAAAATATTAATTATTATCAAGAAACGATAGGTACTCAAAAATTATTCTTCTTTAGTGAGATTAATTATTTCGTACGGTCAAAAATTACCGAGACAAACGCCTGAATATTAGGTGCGAGCCAGAACTATATAAATACGTTACGCTTTTCACAACTGTATAACAAACTACCAATTTTATCCTCCTCCGATAAATGACTTATTTGGACTTTTTGATGCTGCGATGGCAATGCGAAGAAAAAAATTATCTTCTGACCTACATTTTATCATCAGTTATGACTGACACGACGCGAGATTCAGAATGTAAAACGCCGCGGAAAGGGCGAAATGAAAATTACTATGCGCGAACCAGCGCGCGGCCGATGCGATGCGGGGGGGAAAGGGAGAAATAACAACGCAGAAAAAAATCCCGAGGGCAACACGAGCCGCGTTGAAAAGATCCTCGCTAATAGGCATTATATTTTTCGTTCTGTGCATTACGAGTCGGATTATACGGGCCTGTCAGCGGCCTAATAACTGGTCCAAGGCCCGCCCCGCATCTGATACGGGAAAAGGACCCTTTCCTATACATTGTGCGCACTAAACGCTAATCGCAACGCGCGCGAGCGTGATCGCGATATAATGGCATCGAGGTAGGCGATATCCGTGCGGCAGCTTCAAAGGGTGCCGACTTAAAAAAAAAAGAAGAAGAAGGAAAGAAGAAAAATACGTTCCACAAGACGTCAATACGCGATTTCACCTACGCCGAGTCCCTCCTCCCGACGTGTTTGTTAAACAAAGATGATCCCGTAATCCGTCTAAAAATAAAACTATTGATATTCCTTCAACTTTAAAAAATCTCATATCTAGGAACAAAAGGGAACGAAGCTGGAAACGGATAACAGCGCCCGTTGTGTTACCGCGTAGCGCGCTCTTTCTATAGCTCCGGGAGAGAATAGACACGCCAGAAACGATGTAACCCGCTCTCGCTGTGCCGTTATTAAAATAGCGCCTTCGTATTTGCAATCGCCACGAGGCCATCGGCCATTTTCTGTCGCCGCATGGCCGATCCCTTGCCCCAGTGTGGTCGGCTGCTGCAATTTCCTCCCTTGCTCGCCCCGAACGCGCTCTGCCTCCAAAGGGGTTGCTCAGGCTGACGCTCCTCCACCAAGGGGTCGCCGCACAGAGGGTTCATCTCTCATGCGAGGTGGGTTGATAGCACGGAATTTCACCCCCTCCCCCCCCCCCCTCCTCCTCCGTGGGGTCGACCGCGGAGAGATATCCCGGGATATTATCCCTGGGGAAGCCGTGTAATGAAACCGTTCCAGCACCCCCGTGGCATTATTCCCTCACCGATATAGCTTACCACCCTCCGCAAGGATATAGGTGCATGATATGGGGCACAGCTGCACGTCGGTGCCGATACGCCCTCTCCTTTTTCACGTGTGTCGTCCCTTGGCGGAGGATAAACATACAGCGGAGCCCGGCGTCAGCAGCGACGGGCATCATTAAGAAATCCCCAAGCTCCATTACACGAGCCCTTCACCCTTTTCAGGACCGGCCGGTCCGCCATTTTCTACCAATTTCTCGCGAGGGGTGCATAAAATGAATACGCGATGGAACATCGCGCGTTTACGGAGGGCTTTCTGACGTTTCAAGCGTATTATTGCGCGTGTAAAAATAGAAGCTTTCCCTCTTTCTTTTTTTAGATACGATATAATTGTACGATGTAATTGCGTATGTGACCCTTCGAGCGGGAGAGAGAGAGAGAGAGAGGAGTAACGATAGGGGAATTTTTTAAATACACTTACAACGCGGCGAGATACGGTTTTATAGTTGTTAGAACATAACGGAAAATCATTGTTTCGACCCGTTTATATTTAACGAGGCTGGACCGGCGGAGAGGGAGAACAGAGCATATACTACGGGCATCGTTATTAGTGAATCCACGTAATTGCTTTATCCCCTCATGTATCGTACCAGCATTTTTCGATTCTTCTCGCATATTCACAGGGACCAGATAACGAGATATCGCGTGTCGAAAGATGGTGGTTTTTAAAAGCGACAGCGCAAAAGTTATGTCGTGCACGCGACGGGGAAAACAATCATTTGCAATCGCATCTTTTCCTTCGAATCCAAATATAATATCCCGTTAAAAACAATAAGAAAAAAATTTCATGTACATTTCAGATATTTTTTGCACGTTGGCTAACGATATGAATAAAGGATATTTAGACGTAACATGATAACGGCTCACCACGCGTACGAAAAAGGGAATTTCGTACACGAATGCTTTTCTCTTTGAGCGCGCAGAGCATAGATACCGTAACGTCATATCTTTTTGTGCCTTTTATACGTTAACATACGTTATATGAAAAACTTCTCATTTATGTGCAATTTTTCTGCGATTCACTCGAGTCGCATCTTGCGTTTCGTCTGCGCTCCATTTTCTTTCATCTATTCCGCTCGTATCATTTCCCTCCGCGGCCGTGCCGTCGCTAATAAACGCGCTTTATTAATCAATAATTAATAATCTACCTATAATTATGGCATGACGAATCCGCAATGCTGACGTTATCTTCAAAAAAAATCTCGACACGTCATCAAAGCTTTCTCCCTGAAAGCGTTATCAAACTCTTTTGCCTCTAATTCCGAGCGCTAACTCGTTTTTTTAAATCTTTGATTAAATTTTTCAGAATGCAGAAATATTAAAATTGGCCCATTCAAACTGTTTTTTCCGTGAAAATTGTAGCGACAAATAACCGTACGGTCGTTTTTCGTCATTCATCATTTTCTTCCTGGGGATTGCGTTTTGCCTTGAAATCGAAATACGACGATTTCCGTGGAATGGAAGGGGGAGGAGTTTCAATACGTTCCATTGCATATTGGCGTACCTTATAGTTGTCTATTGTATAGCACAGTAATCTTGTAATCTCAATCCCGGATCTGACCGCGGAAGCTATCCACGGGAGCGTCGGCACGTTTCTTCAGATCGTTGACTTCGTCCATTCAACGAAGCCTACGTCCTGTAGCGACAGCTCCGGCGCGCGTACCCGGCAGCGGGGCCCCGTTTCTCGAGGGCCCCACGAGAGCGCAGTTTCCGATTCGCCGTACAATAATATGACGGAAATGTCAGTCAATTAATAAGCATAACGAACCTGACTAATTTCCGCCTTTGTTCCGCTGCGCGGCCCTGGATGGATGAATGAGTGGCCATTATGCGCGTGCATGTGCGGCCTTTATGATTGGTCAGATCCGTATCACGACAGCCGGTTCCGCTTTTGCCGGGCCGAGCCGCGCGCGGCCGACGCGGCGAAACCTCGTGAACCTTTTTAACCGCGTGCACGTGCCGACGGGATATCGTTTTCGTTCTTGGTCCTGCATCGCCCTCCCCACCCCCTTCTCTGCCGTCATCTCGCTTCTTTTTTCTTACGCCTGCATCTTTCGCCGTGCCGCGGTCCTGCGACCGGCGCGATGGCGGAATGGGAGAATGAACAAGAAGCTGGACGGCAGTGTGCGGCAATCGTTGCATTACTAGATACTTTACATGCACACGTATTGTACATGTATGTATGACTAATTTAATAGGCATTTAATAATTAAACAGACTGTGAAATGATTTCATTTTGGTAGACATTTAATAATTAAACAGATAAAAAATTGTCTATTTAATTATTTACGAGCATCAATTCACCTGATAACACAAGCCAAAAAATTTAATTTTTTCTAATGTGACAGATACATCCCGACCCCGAGACAATGTCCTTAAACAAGTCCAAGCAAAACCACCGATCGACCGAATTTAATAGACATTTAATCATTAAACAGATAAAAAATGGTCTAATTA